ATCGCATTTGGAAAAAGTGGTGACAGAACTTTTGGCCCACCCTGTATATGCTAAAAACTATGCATTTCAATTAAAAAGTGGTGCTGGCGTGCAGTTAGCCATTTTGAATTTCCAAAAACAAATTGTAGTGGTCATTGAAGAAAGATTCTGAAAACTGAGTGTACAGAAGCAGTATACATTCACTGTAAACAAACTGCTGGCAGGATGCAGTACATTAATTCGCAAAGGCATTTCATTTTTTCCCTTCTCTTTTCTCTTCATTTCTATTGTTCATCGTCATCTAATCCAATTCAATTCAATCCGTCGATATGACAGAACTCATAAATTATTTAATGCATCAATTCAGTCTGAATTATTGGTATTCCAGCCTTGAATCTTGCCACTCTTGAACACCAGAAAACATCTGCTTTAATTAATCACAGTCTTTTTCTCTTTTAAATTCTGCGCTTTCTGACGTTTTTCCGTTAAATTGCACGTCATTCAATTGCTGGTGCTGAGAATAGCTGCCACAATCACACAGTTTCTTTTCTTCGGTGTCTTTTCAAGTGTGTGCTTTTCTGCAGAGGTGCTCTGTACAGTACAGACCGCAAGTGGTGCAGCAGTAGTAGTGGTAGTGGTGTGCATCGCCAGTCTATCACCAAGTACAACAGCTGAAACTCGAGTTCATCTTACATTATCAGCAGTGTCTGTGCACTGGTGATCATCATCCCCTCTTTTCATCCTCTTCTTTTCCCCTCCTTTTCTCATCAACTTCGCTTCCACACCGTCACACGTATTACGTTATCATCACCAGAAACAGTGCTCTTGCAGCCTGCTGTCATACAAGCACAGTTTGATTGAAGAGAGCAGCAGTGAAAGTCGTACAACACTTTACAACAGATTTTACAACAAAAGCACCAACTCTACCAACTTTGACCAAGAATGACTTGTTAAATGCGAAAGATTATCACTTTGCTCTCTCCTCCAATTAGATCTTATCAGCAGTAATTCAATCAAAACTAGACAGTGTTTGCCTTTCCCTTATCTGCCACTGGATCAGCACTTTCTCTAAAGAAAGGAAGTATGCAAACACACTCATCAGTCTCGACAACGGCAAGTCTGCTTACTTTCAATGAAAACTCTTGAAGTGTTTGTTCACTGTGTGTTCATCATTGAAATTCAGTCAGCTTACTTCAGTAAAACATTTTGCTGACAAAAAAGCAGTACAACAGACAATGTTTCAGCATCTAAAGGAGCGTTTCTTCAGCAGCAGCAGTAGTAGCAATCGTCGCAAATCAGTAGACGACCCGAATGCGCCGTTGACCCAACGTGAAATCGACTACATCCGCCTCACCTGGTCTTACTTAAGAACTGACATTGCCAACTTTAAAGTTTTTGGAGCGGATCTCTTTATCAGGTATTTTAAACTTTTAATAGTGTTCACACTTATCACTAAACTTACTTTTAGGTTTTTCACCTCTTACCCTGACTACCAGCGTCAGTTTAAATCTTTTAAAGATGTGCCTATTCACTTCGCCGACTTGCCTTCGGGTGAGCTGCGCATTCCCAAGAAACTTCTCGCCCACGGCACCTTTGTGATGTACACCCTGGGCATGCTAGTGGATCACCTCGAGGAGGCGGCCACGCTGGAGGTGATGCTAAAGCGATTGGCGCGCAATCACTACCGACGGCGGATTAACCTGACGGCATTTGCCCTCCTCCGAGAAGCCTTCCTTGCCCAACTGCTCGACCGACTAGGCCCGGATGTGGTCGGCCCTCGAGAGTTGACCGCCTGGCGGAAAGCCTGGGCCCTCATTCTGACCGCTCTTGAACGGGAATTTGCCGCCCTAGAGGTGGACGTGGCAAAGCGGGGCAGTTACCACCAACTCAGTGCCGCCCACCGATCAGCGAGGAACAGCATGCTCAGGTCATATGTCACTGCTGCTGCTGCCGCAGGCAATTCACACTCACCGTCTGTTGCACAGTCAGGCAGAGGTGGACTGCCGCCTCGGTCACCGACGGCAGCGGCGGTAGTGGGGCGGACTTCGATCTCAGTGACGACCAGCGGTGGGAATATCAACAGCACTACCACTGAATCCACCTTTTCTGTCAAAAGCAAAAGGTCACTGAAGCTGCTGATGTTCAAGCCTTTTAAACTGGTGCGAAAGTCACTTCAAACGCAGTCAAGCGCTAAGTGACACTGCAGTGCCGTACAGTGAATTGTGTACAGTCGACAAATACCATCCAACTCACATTTGTAAATATTTTCTTTTCTTCATCTTCATCTACTGTTTTTCAGCCAACATTACACTACTTGGTTTTCAATTTCTCTCTTCTTTTTTCATCACTCAGTGCATTTTTTTGGTATAATTCTCTTCAATACGACGATTAACGCTGATTTTGTTCTCTACACTCATGTTTTCTTCAACTTGATCTTGTTTTTTCATTACAACATTTTTATTGTTGTAGTATAGTGCTTAATTTTAAGTTTGAGTAAATATTTGTCTTTTTTCACCAAGATGAGAACTGCAAGAATGAATAAATGAGAGAATGCCTTCATTCAATTGCTGTACAGTTGTATCACTGCCGAGATCATCCTCATCTTCTCCTGTCTTCTATTTTTGTACAGCCATGGCTGCTCTCGACACACTGAACGTGACAACAGTGCTGAGCAGACGGGCACAAAAACAGACAGCAAGACAGACTGTAGGACACGGATGATAAAGAAGGAGAAAAGGCTGAAGAAAAGAGAAAAAAGAAAGCAGCGTACGACAGACAGCAAATGTCAAGTGAGGATCACGTACACCAGATATCAGTTTGCCTGCTGCAGGATGGAATGGTCGCCAATGTTGATGCCAGCTAATGAGCACAACACTAGACAACAGAATGACAACAAACACTGCGGACAGCAACCATGAACATCAAAACAGTATCAACTGCCAACCGACGATCATTACCTCCTTCAACGATGAAGAGCTGGCCACCCTTCGCCAGACCTGGTACGAGGTGACCCGGACGCAATCGGACAGCTTTGGAGCTCGGCTTTTTCTCAGGTAATCAGATCATTTCCTTCTTTCTCACTTGTTGACCACTATTTTGCAGACTTTTTGAGCTGCACCCCGCTTACCTGCCACTGTTTGGCTTTCCTGAGACAACAGATGTTGTGGGCGATCAGTCTTTTCGCAATTGCAGCAAGCTGGCCGCCCACGGCGCCAATGTCCTCTACATGCTCACCATGACCTTTGACCACATTGACGATGCTGAACTGGTAGACGCCATGCTCGTCCGTTTGGTGCACTCGCACGTCAGACGGGGCATCGAGCCGACCGCCTTTGATCACATTGTGCGACCATTTGATGAAGTCGCAGTGGGCTGTGGCCGATTCACCAGCACTGAACTGACCACACTGAGGAAGGCTTTTGCTTATGTAAAGGAACGCATTCAGGCACTCTATGAAGATGTCGAGGCAAGAGAACTTTTTGATGGCGATGATGACAGCAGCAGTGGCACTGCTTCAGACACTGCTTCAGAGTTTGGTGCGCTCATTTGATTCAATGATCTTGTTTGTACATTCTTTTTTGTATAATTTTTTTTGGGTTTTATATAAGCTAAATATCAAGGCAAGACTTAGCAATTGCACAATCAAAAGTGTGTACTCTTGAACGAGCATTGGAAATTGCAAAAATAGACTAGTCAATGAGCATTTCATTTCTCTACTCTTTTTAGCCATGGTTGATTAGTCATTTAACCAGTGATTAGCGAAAGTGTGTTGGCGTGTGGCAAACCCTTTTTTTCTCTGCTCAATACCACAGTAAGTGTAATTATTAATATTTGCCACCAGTGTCATTACAGAAACTGCACGGGCACCACTAAATTATTGACCACAAGTAAGGGGTTGAAATTGTACTGTTCAGATAACAAAGCAGCACTCTCAATTGCCACTGCCAATCAGTTAAGTCATCAAAATGAACTGAAAACAGGATTTCATCCCTTNCTGTTCAGATAACAAAGCAGCACTCTCAATTGCCACTGCCAATCAGTTAAGTCATCAAAATGAACTGAAAACAGGATTTCATCCCTTTTCTACTATGTTCATCTTGCTTTTAATTAGAGCAAACAAAGTGCAGACAGTCTGAAGTAATGAATGCCTATCAAAAAAGAGAAAAAGGGAAGCTCTACTGGTTGGTATTTGATAGGCAACGAGTAAAGATCAACTGGTGGCACAAACCAAAACAGAAATAGAGTTTGTAAATGGCTGAAAACAATCACAAACGCCTTTTGAAAATGGTGAAGATCAAATCAGTGGCAGGCTATATAAGTAGCTTTTCTGGCAATCTACATATCTTTGCTTATCTGACCATCATCTAGTACTGTTAGGTAGTATTTGTATAAATTAGCATGAATTTATCATCAAGCAGTACTACCTTCATTCATCGGCAAATTATTAATCTTCTCTGGTGATGTCAAGGTGTATGAAATGGGCTGGAAAAACTGCAATGTGTTCTGGTGGTTTTTGTTTATGGTGGTCATTGTGGTTGTAGTTCAAGTGAAAAGTAGAAAGAAAAAGGGCGACACGTAAGTGATCAATATTGACTGAATGAAAACCAAATGATTTATATCTGTTTGTCTTTGTTTGATTTGAATACTAGCATCATACTTCATCACGGCAAAAAATGCATTCCCACCGTCATCAAGTCGGGTGGCAGAGTTAAGGGAGATTTGTAAGTACCACATAAAATTATTACAAGTTAGTCCATTTTCAAAACATGTCACCTAAGCCCACCTTCTCAGCATTCTCGTTCCCAGTCACCAGCAAAAAGAGTGCCAGCGAGAGATGCAAAAAAACGAGGACGATGATTTGAAAGTGGAGGAAAGCAAAGCAGCTCATACTACATTTGTTCCCTACTGGATGCCCTACAATGGCCTTGAACAGCAGCAGTACAGCTCTGTACATCGACCAATGTTCAGTTTTCCAGTTGTTCATCGGAGGATCGTCTATCACTACATTCAACCAGTTTATCAACCCTACTATCAACCAATGTCCTACTCCTACCATCCCATTAGTGGGCGTGATTATTTTGGTCCTGGGCAGTATCAAAGCAGTCCGACAGTGTATTCTTACTCAAACACACTCAACCGACAAATATCATCCTCTTACTAAAATTAATAAAATGATTTTTTACAATTTTTTGCCCTGATATTTCAGGTTTTAGAAATAATAACAAAACGGCGTTTAAAATAAATTTTATTTTTTGCTGAATTACATTTTTTTAAAACAGTCTCAACTATTATCACTAAAACAACCGACATTTCTTCAGCGGGTTCATCTTTGATCCTAGCGGGCACTGAAAAGCGTCAGAAAACTGTTTCAGATTGCTCAGTGGAACATTAACTCTGTGCTCTGGAGGTAGGTGTCCAATTGTCTCAATAATTGCTTTTCGCTCTTTAATCCAAATGTTTTTGCAGTTTCTCTGTGCATAGGAAAGGAAAAAAAGCTGTTTGGATGTGAATTTCTCCATTTTAGGGATCCTCTTGTCATCATTGTTTTTCAATTTTTCCTTCATCGCTAAAAATGCAATACTCAACCCTTCTTTGTCAGCAATGTTTTCGCTCAAAGTCAAACTTCCGTTCAACCTAAGTCCCGTTTCCCGGTCCACTATGGCGTCATACTGATCGACAAAACACTTCGTCTTCTCATTGAATCGTTTTCTTGTCTCAGCCCACTCTTTAATATTCCAGTTATAAGATGTTCCGTCTGAAGTAATCTGAATGCCGTAGTTGTCAAAGTGGTGAACAATTTCGTGTCCGATTGTGGCGCCAGTATTTCCGTAGATTAGTGCGAGTGGGTACGTCGAGTCAAAGAAGGGTGGCTGAAAGTTGATTGCAGGTAAAGCTTAATTGGGTAAAATTTAAAGTAAACAAAAATTAAATTTTCACGTTTGAGTAAATAACACTCACAAATTGCCAAGTCGTGGCGGTGAGCACGTGCGTTAAGGTTCGTAGGATAAAGTGGGAAAAAATGCTTCCAGGAACTAGTTTCCGTTAGAAGTCGATTGACCGCTTGAAAAACCTTTATTTTTTCTCGCCTGCGTTCTTCTACTTTTGTTTCAAAATAGTGACCTTTTTGAACTGGCACAAAATCCACATCAGGGTAACGGTTGACTTTGAAATCGAGGGCGGTGTTATTTAACAACCATTTTGGGTATGCGACGTAAAAGTCTATAGAGCAGGACTTATGTAGATAATTTCTATGAATTGATTCTTCTAACCAAGTGACTTTTTTGAGAAATTTCTCTTTAAAAACCGCCATAATATGGTTTGCAAGATCCTCTGCCTGCGTTTTAAGTTCTTGTGATACAAAATGATCGACGTAAAGGCGGGAAGTTCCCCAGCCGTTGTACGGATTTTCCAGACAAATCTCTCAGTTTTGACCGTTTATCTTTCCAATTACTATTTTTTCTGCTTTTGTTTGATTGTTGAGCCAGCTGTAATATTTGAGCATTTTGTCGCTTTCGATTTCGCCCACAAAACTCTCAACCAGTTTGAATCCAAGGTAGTTGTGCACCGTCATCGGCGAGGTTTCCTGAAGCAGTTGTGACAGCTTTTGATAGTACCAAGTTGATTTAGAAATGAGCACCAGTTCAGAATGATT